TGTAAATTAAGCTCAACATCTTTCAAGAATGACATTGTAGATAAACAAATAAATAAATTAAAAAACCAGTTTGTTGTACAATGATACAAAACAAAGACAGAGAGTAGAACAAGAACTCAATATTGTGTATATACAAAAATCTCAAAATCCAGCTAATTCCCCGTGAGAACAAAAAAAAGAGAAAACACAAACAAATTAAGTTTCTGATATCAAAACTACATCTCCACGACACAATGTAATCATCATCCAACCTCAGGCAGATACAGAAACAGAACATTTTTGACCAAAAACACTCAATCGTCTTTGAATTCTTTAGTCGGACGTGCTTCAAGTCCTCCATCTGCTCTTTTCTCAAGAGAATAAGGCATATAAGTCCCCAGAATCCGATCCCACACGACAAAGAAAGGCTGAGAGAAATTGAATTTGCTTCCATAAAGCTGATGATGCACGTCATGGTAAGCAGAGTTGTTCTTAAAGACCATATGGAACAGGTTTCCGGGAAGCCAGAGACCGCAATGGTCGTCCACGGTTTTGATAGTCGCAAAAGAGAAGAAGAAGATTGAAGTTCTTGGAGACATACCGGAGATCAGGAAAGATAAAGCGCCACCAACTGTATCCAAGAGAAGACCTTCCACTGGATGGTTGTATAAGGCTCCGTATGCGTAAGGGACGATAAGACGGTGGTGCTGAGAGTGGATATGCTTGTATAAGAACTTGTTGTGATGCATGTATCGATGGATGAAGTATTGCCATGTGTCGAGGACTATCATTGCCGTCACAAACTGTCTCGCTAGGACCAGTAGGGAAAGCTTTTCGTCTACTTCAGCATCACTTCCTGTGACCTGTGTCAACAATGAAGAAGCATGTCAAGTAAGCAAAGTGAAGGTATCAAAGCCATGTTTGAAGCAAACCACAGGATAAGACGAAGGAAAAAATCAAGAAACCATGATGCTACTTCACAGATTGTAACAGCATTCACCACATAACAACTCATTGGAATATCAATCAACAAATTTTCAAGTAGAACTTATATTGCTACTGAATCGAATGTAAGCAAAGAACAGAGTACAAGGGTGGATTCTAGAGCACACCAAGCTCTCCAATGACCAAAACCAATTACCAAATCACTCAGAGCCCTTCACTGATCTCTTCAATACCTATTTACGTTCATGCTTTCCTCTAAAACTCTAATTTTTCTAACACTGATATATGAACAGAGTACAAGGGTGAATCTTAGAGCATACTAAGCTCTCCAATAGCCCCAAACCAATTACCAAATCACTCCAAAGCTCTTCAATAACTATTTACGTTCATGCTTTGCTCTAAAGCTCTCTAACTTTTCCAACACTGATATATGAACAGCTCTCAAAAAGGACTGAGCATTGTTCAACTATTAGAACTAAACCTTTCTTCGAGCTTCTTAGCTTTAGATTCATCAATCTCCTATCTTTAAAACCCAATTTGTTCAAGGAAAATGCAGATACCACAAATTTTTTAAGTCAATATCAGATCAATAATGCAGATTTTCTCTTTTTTTTTGGGTGGAAACTACAGTAACCCAAAAGATTCGTCACTTTTCTATACAAATCCAATTCCGTCAGCATCAGATAACAAAATCCCCCAATTGATCCTAATCCACTAAACAAGAGCAAAGTTCGAAAAATTGGAAACATTACCGTGAACAAGATGATAGCGACAACAGCTTGGACGAGCTGCTGAAGAAGAACGCCTTTCACGACGGAAGATTTCGAGACGAGATTCTTCTCTTCTTCCTCAGCTTTGGAATGCAATCTGTAACCCTCGAGAGACGATAGCGCGACGTAAATCCCGGAATAAAGCCAATAAACCACAATCGGAGCAACAGTGCCCAGCAATTCGTCGGAGACAGCAAAACCCATCTTCGTCCCTTAATTCCTTAATCCTCCTCTCAGCTTCAGATCCTTCATCAACTGTAACCCAAATGGGGAAAATGATGAGGAGAGGGAAATAGCCACAAGAGCACAGATTTTTCCTGGAAAATTAACCGAGAAAACTTCCAAAAAGTCAATTTGATTTTTTTCGAATCGATGATTGAGATCGTTAGGGTTAGTGATTGAGTTTGACAAATCAACGAAGGAAACAAAAATGATGGAAGCAGAGAGAAAACGACACACTCGAAACGAGAGACGTGGCTCAAGTGTGCTCATTAAATTAAATTACAAAATATCTCAGTTATCTACTGTGCTAAGATCTACACTGAGTCTGCTTACGTGGCGGAATCCGAAAGCGATTGTAGTATGAGATGGAATATGTGACGTTGGATTGTGTAACGCATACCTTGTTAACGTGTTATTTACCGTACTGGATTCTACCTGTTTGCGCTGTCGTCCGTTAAACGGCGCCGTATATGTTTGAAGTTTTGTTTGGAAAATTGAGTACAATTGTTTTCCCTTGTAGAAACTAGAAACTAGAAAGATTCAACAATTTTTAGTTTTTTTTTTCAAATTTCAAACTCTTGTAGTTTTAATATCCGTTTTTTTTGGAGTGAAGACAAAGACTTCTTTTACGTTTAACAATTTTTATAATTCTTCTATCATCTTAAAAGACAATCTCATCTTTTAGTTTTTTTAAAAAGTAACCATTGTACAACTTGTACTTGAGTTGAGTGACATTAGCGCTGTCTCTTTGTTCACAAACGTTGTCGCTCTTTATTTCTTTTTTCTTTTCTTATGATGCATTTGTGATTTGTTTTTTTTGTTTAATGGAAACTAGAGAACTATGCGAATCTTGATGATATATAAATATAATAGCTTAAGTAAAGAGATCCAAGACATAATAGTAGCATTGTACAAGAAAGTAAAAAATAGAGATTAATTAGATAACGGGAGAGTATTTGGTCGCGGAATCAACTTTAAATTCGACCTCAACATCCAAATTGTCTTCCTTGTTCAAGTAAAGCTTCCGAACTTCAGCTAGAGACAAATAGTGATCCCAACCCCAACTCCTCTTTGATTCCTCGTGCCAGTGGTTCACTGCAAGAAAACAAAATGCCAAACATGGTTTATTATAAAAATTTAAAAAGACAGAACGCACCAAACATGGTTATGAGATACTGAAAATGAGTACATATCTTGAAGACTGTATCAAACAACAGTTAAAAAACAAAGTAAAAAAAAATATAGCTGTGTTTTAGAAAATATATACTTTGGAGTGCAAAGTGAGTGGATCCAAGTGGGTCTAGAACTCGCAAATGTCCTTGCACGGAAATCTTCTCATCTGCTTTCGGTTTATCACTATCAGCTAAATACAGAAAAATGGATACCCATTTGCCATCCTTTTTAGATTGGCCCTTCGATCGGATACAGCTTTAAAACCCTAAACGTACAAAACACTAATTATATAATGAAATACTTATTTAACATTCATAAGATTCTGATAGCGCCAAAACAAAGTTTTGCAGAATTATATATATATTATATACTCACCATTTCCTTCCTCCCATTGAAAAAATGTTTGATGTGTAAACATCCTCTTTCAACAAAGAAAAATTCTTAACAGTCCATGAGAACTTGGGATTAGGGAGTTTCTCATCAAAAGAGAGGATCTCCCAATTGGTAAAGGGAGGAGCAACAATGACATCAATACCAAACTCACATTGACCACCTTCGTATACGTATCCATTTGAAGGATTAATGAACGTTTCATATGGAAGAACTTCTTGCAACCCCACACCGTTTTAAGTGCATTGAACCTCTTCACTTCTACATCTGAACTTGAACAAATATTATATACTATGTGAAACATTCAGAGAGAGCTAGAGAGAGAGATGTGTGGTTCACCTTGAATAGTGAAGTATTTGTTTTGTTTCTTGTTGAAGACAAAGAAACGAAGTTCCCCAAAAACCTCAGTTGGTGGTGTGAATACCATCAAGCTTTTGCTTCATGGAGAAAAGCTAAGACACGAGCTGGCTAGAGACCTTACAAGGGAAACTGCCTGGGAATCGGTTATGCGAATAAGATGTGGAAAAGGTTTAGTAATTTATGATACAATTTTTATATGTGCTGGCTATTATGTCACTCAAGATTTGCTAAATTGGTTGGTATGCTACATTTCATCTTACATATTCTTGCATGCAGGAATTCGTTTCTCGTCCTACCATGGGAACTTCATGCTAAGGTCTACTGATCTGCTTGCTCTTCCTGCTGTTGACTGTGACAAAGCATATGCAATGCAGCTATCACTGGAAGAGACATTGCTAACAACTCAGACTGTGTATTTCCAAGTCGCTTTGCTGTATCCTTGAATAGTTGGTATTTTAAGCATATTTGATTTTAAAGTTTGATTTTCAACTGGTATAACGTATCAAGTGGTTTTAGTAATCCTTAACAGAACTAAGATATACTGCTTCTTGCGGAGAGAGGCGTATAAGGGTACACACAGCTGTTGCACCAGTGGTTACCGATCTTGGAGAGATGTATAGACAAGCAGACACTGGTTCCATTGTCTCTGTATATACTAGATTAGGTAGGATACATTATACTTTTTTCAAGTAGCGTGATATGCTTCATTGGATACTATTAAATGACGGCTTTAATTTTTGTAGCAATTGAGAAATCCTTGTCCGCAAAGTTGGATGATGCACGGAATGTAATACAGCAAAAGATTGTTAAAGCCCTCAGAGAATATCGAGATCTTCATAAGGTGCAGCATCGGTTGGGGTCTAGATTGATATACCCAGAGTCTTTGAAGTTTTTGCCATTGTACGGATTGGCAATTTGTAAGTCCACTCCTCTACAAGGTGGACCTGCTGATGCTTCACTTGACGAGCGCTGTGCGGCAGGCTACACCATGATGGCTCTGCCCGTCAAAAAGCTGTTGAAGCTTTTATATCCCAATTTATTCCGTGTTGACGAGTGGCTCTTAAAGGTTTGTGCATCTCTATCTCAATGTCCATTATCAAAAATTCGTTTCAAGAAATCTTTAAATCATATATGAATTTACATTTATATGCAGCCATCAGCAGACCACAATGACCTTAAGGACGTTTTAAGGAGATTGCCTCTGGCTGCAGAGAGTTTGGATTCTAGAGGCCTCTACATTTATGATGATGGTTTCCGATTAGTTTTGTGGTTTGGCCGGATGCTTTCACCTGACATTGCCAAGAATCTTCTTGGGGCTGACTTTGCAGCAGAGCTCTCAAGGGTATGTTATTTCATCCACATGCACTCTTTTGCATATGAATCTGAATGAGCGAGACATCCAGTGATTTATATGAAACCCATGTATTTGTTTGTGTTGGGGTTTTAGGTTGCACTGCAAGAGCAAGAGAATGGGATGTCAAAGAAGCTAATGAGGTTGATAAAGAAAGTGAGGGAGGACGATCCTTCATATCATCCCATGTGTTTCCTAGTGAGACAAGGAGAACAACCGCGAGAAGGCTTCCTTCTCCTCAGAAATCTCATCGAGGACCAGATGGGCGGTTCGACTGGTTATGTTGATTGGATTCAGCAAATTCACCGCCAGATCCAACAAAATGCGTAATATGGCTCACGATCGTAAGCAATCTTCTTTCCATATCTTAACTTCCAATACATGCTCAAAGAGTCTCGAATCATTTTCAAGCCATCTTATGAGTTCCTTTTGTTTTTCTAGACAACTCAGGTGCCTGAATGCGCCTCTTTTGTAAACCATTGAAGAATCAAAATCTTCTTCTTAAGCCGCCTATGGTTTTCGATCATTGCGGTCTGCTTCCTGGGGGGGATAATGTATGTTGAAGAAAAGAAGACTACTTTGATTTTTCTTCATTTGTTTTTCTACAAAACTTTTCTCAAATCCAAGGCTTTTTATTTGCCTAACCAGAATATGGTTTTGTCCGTAAGATTAGACGTTTTTGTTTCTGCTTTTGTTGCTTCTTCCTTTTTGTTCCTTTCTAATTTATTATTCTTGTACGTCTATGCCAAATTTATCTTGGAGTTTCAGTTCATGAATCTGTCTTAACTTGGAATGATATTAACAAGAAGATGGCTTCTTTTAGAATTGAAGAAGATTTGTATGATTATATATCTTTGATTATATATCTACAAAGAAAGAGGATCAGCAAATTGAAGTAGTGTTGTAAAGTGAACGCCTCTCGAACGTTGTTATGATTTCTGGTTAAAAGTAGTATCAGGATTGTGTTATGCTCTTAATCTTCTTATCTTATCACATTGTTAATCAAGTTGAGAGTTATAGACACAAATTGAAAATCCGGAACAGCCTAATATTTATGAGGTTTACGAAAAAGAAAATCATTTAACTTGTCTGAATCTTTCAAAAAGAAACTTTTTGGCATTGTGCATAAAGAAACTAGACTTCCATAATAGGGGAAATTAAAAAGCGACGAAATTTCGATAACGTCTGTTTCGAAAATTCTGGTCGGTCGAACCGGAACCGTTTGGGTATGGAGAAGAGACGTGTCAATATCTGATTGGGTGGTACCTTCCAGAAGGGTACAGAATAGACAGAGAGAGAGAGAGAGCACACGTTTGCTTAAACGGCGTCATAAATGGGTTTTCCAATTTCTAATCGCTTGCCTTTATAAACCTCTGTGAACCATTGCTTTCGAAGAAAGTATTCAGATTTGAGCATATCGACAAATTTTCCGAGCTTGCTGGGGAAGATAGAGCGGCGATTTTCATTTTCGTTTTCGTAAGTGATCGCTCCCTCTTTTGTCGCAACCTATTTTTCAATTACGTATCCTGATATTGAGCATCGTGGTTTCTAGATTTGGATTTTCTATTTGCGGATACTCTTTTTAAGGTGGTCCTATAGTAGTAAGGAATCGTTTCTGGATTCGATCTGCAAAAATTTGGAAGACTCATTTTGCGAAAATCCTTTTGCGAGGAGGTCTTGTAGTTTTCTCGGAATCGTTTGTGGTCTTGTAGCTAAGTTCTTAGATCTGTTGGATTCGAAATCTTATGCAGGAATTTTGATTTTTTGATTTTTCAATTTTGTTCAGGGAGTTTAACTTGTTTCAACGATACTTTAAGATTTCTACTCGAAGATGGCTGAGGTATGATCTCTTTATCATCTCTGGAATTATAATTAAATGCATTGCCTCGTTGTTGGTTTTGATTGAATGTGTGGAAAATGTGATAATTGCAGGAAGCGCACAGGGTTACGTTGAATGTGTATGACCTAAGCCAAGGCTTAGCACGCCAGCTCTCGGCATCACTTTTGGGAAAGGTTATCGAAGGTGTATGGTGAGTTTAGTTATCTCTTGACCATGTTCATACACTCCGTTAAATCCTAGGCTCTTAAGAATTTGAATGTATGCGTCAAGTGTTCTGAGCTATGTATTGTATACCTTTTTCTCAGGCATACGGGAGTGGTTGTGTATGGGAACGAATACTTTTTCGGGGGAGGAATACAGCATTTGCCAGCTGGAACAACTCCGTATGGAGCACCATTGCGAATCATAGAGCTGGGTGAGTCACATGTTCCTCAAGACGTGTTCGAGATGTACTTGCAGGAGATCAGTCCTCGTTACACAGCTGAGTCCTACAATTTGCTTACTCACAACTGCAACAACTTCAGCAACGAGGTCGCTCAGTTCTTGGTTGGTAAAGGAATCCCAGATTACATTCTCCAGCTTCCTAATGAGGTTATGAACAGCCCCATGGGTGGTCTCTTAAGTAAGTCAGCTGATAACTCGTCTTTGTATCCGGTTTGTTCGGCTCTGAACTGTTTTGATTTCATGTCTTTGTTTGCAGTGCCTATGATACAAAACCTTGAAACGACTCTAAGAGCCGGCGCTGTTCCTCATGCTCCACAGTTTAGGCCACAACAGCAGCCACAACCTTTTGGAGCTTTCAGCAGAGACGAAGGTCCAAAACCATCTGAGAAAGCTTCTAAGCCTGAGGATTCCAAAGCCTCAGCTTCAACTACGAAGGTTGCACCTGTTGCTCAACCTTCAGCTAGTAAAGAGAAGGTGAAGGAGGATCCGTTGGGTGATGCTAGGACCAAGATTCAGGAAGAGATTACTCGGGAGTTTACGGCTCTCATGGCACAAGGCACACTACGAGCAAGCGAAGCAGCTGCTATGGCGACTAAAAGAGTTATGCAAAAGTATGGTCATCTCAATGTAGCCGCTTAGTCTGATATCAGAGATTAAACAATTTGTTCTACTCTATTGAAAGTTTGAAACCGAGTCCAGGATCTTTGAACCATTTTTATTACTGTTTCTAAGCCTATATTCGTATATCATGTTCAACGATTTACATTTTAAATCACCACAAAAGAGGAAAAACTAGCAGAAAACATGAGTAAAGATATAAAAATTATAATAATTGCATTTACGGCGATACTACGGTCTCTGAAGAATCAGCTTCTTGTGCTGTTGGACACAATGTGAGGAGGATCTGTGAAGGAAGTCCCAGGTTCCAACTCAATAGCAGTCTCTTTGGATCTGCAAAACACCTCAGAGGGAATATTGATGCCTGCGAAACCAACCATTACAGCTGCAGCACCAATGTAGTCGGTGAAGCTTGGCTTGTTCCCTGATAAGCTGTCCACAATAGCTGCCAATGGTACCTGAATCGTTAGCCCAGCCGTTGCCACTGTGGTTGTTGTCAATAGTACTGCCTTTGCCCACATATAGTCACTTAGCACATTATCCAACAAACCTGAAAACAAGAAACACAATCCTGTTGTTATGAGTTACTGTGTGATTTATTGAAAATTGAGGGATGGGGTTTGCATACCTTTGCCAACAACTAGGCCAAACTGTTTCAAAGTTAGTGCATTGAAGCGTTCTCGCTTTGTGAAGTTGAGTATCAGAGCAGCGGGGAGGAAGATGAAGAAGTTGAAGAGACCTAGAAACCCGAGGAACTGAGCCATACTAAAGCGACCGTTTCTTTCATCATCATCCGGAAGCTTTTTCCGTATAAGAGTGATGTAGACAGCATAAAGCGCCGCTGAGATCAACGAAAGAATATCTCCCAAAAGAGGGTTTTTAGCTGTCGCGGTTGCGTCTGATTCCGAGTCACCCATACTCACAACTATCGTCCCAGACATACAAAGAAGAACGCTGAAGAGCTTCAACCACGTGAACTTCTCCCCCAAGAATATCAATGATACAAGAAACGTGAAAAGGCTTGATGCACTGCTTAAGATTGTATTCGACTGCAATTCACACAAAACGAAAAAAGGTCTTTAGTCAGGGATAAAAGAGAGCAACAAGAACGAGGCTTTTGGATGTTTCGTACCGTAACCGTTGTGTACTTGAGAGAGAGGTTAAAAGTGAGCTGTGCCAAGAACCAAAACGGACATATCACAAGGCTAACTTTAGCAACACGCATCCGTGTCCAACGTCCCTTCTCTTCTAATCCTTTGCTACTAGAGATATCACCACTAACATTATCACTAGCATCATCAATCTCAAGCTCTATATTTTCCAATCCAGATTCAATCCCATCATCACTATCTCCTTCCTCTCTCGCAACACCAACCCCTGAATTTTCAGCCGCATCTGTATTCACACCTGAAACAACATCCTGTCCAAGAAGAACAGCCTTTTCCGATTCCACCAATTCCCGCAAATGCGACCTTTTGTTTCTCCAGAACAATATACTCCCGTAAGCATCTTCCAGATATCGACCGATTTCGAAAAGGGGAAGATAAATGACGAACAGTGAATTGCAGATAAAAGTGATCAGGAACGGTGAAACGCCGGCATCTACAACAGACTGGACTACGAAACTGGCCGCAATCCAAATCGTGGCGACGGCGAATATGTATATCAACCCTAATACCCATCTCCATAACTTAGTCGACATATCTTCCAATTGAGATAAGATAAACAGAACTCGAGCTCACCGGAGAAAATCAATTGCACATTCTGCTGCGAATGCTTCAATCCCCATGAATCGAAAACGGAAAATTTCGCAAAAAAGAGCAGAAACGAGAAAGATCTGGTCAAATCCAATCAATCGTAAAACATAGCACCGCGTGAAGATGAATTACCTTCACACCGACAGATATTGGAGATCGGCGTCAAATTGTTCAATCAATGACGATTCAAAAGCGGATTCAGATAATCAGCGCGAACGAGAGAGCGAGAGAGAACAGAGAGAGAACGAGAGTTTGGCCGATGTTTGAGATTGAATATGGGCTTTCTTCTCGGCCCAATATCGTTATAAGGCTTTTAAGTTAAAAAGCCTTTTAGTTTATATACACACGACGAGACGAGAGAAACCCTAACACCTGAATTTGCTTGTTGTTTTTGTTTTGCTTTTGGATATTCCAAGTTGAGAAACACATACGAACTCACTGTTCGGTCATGACGACTCGTGGAGATGTAGCTCCGGCGATTGACTGGATCGGCTTTCAACTGGCTCTATCGGCGATCGAACTAGGAATTCTAGCTGGACACAACAACTGGAGACATTTACCAACAGAGCTAAAGATGAAGATACTGGAGTCACTTCCTGGAGTAGATATTGCAAGGGCTGCTTGCGTGTGTAGAGAGATTCGGGATCTGGATTCGGACAATGACTTATGGAAGCAAAAGTTCTTGGAAGAGTTTGCCGATCGTGTAAGAGATGAAGAAACGGAAGCAGCTGATGATTTGGATGTTGATTGGAAAGATAAGTTTGCTTGTCTATGGAGGCTAAAGCGAAGATTAAGAAGAGGGAGGGTAAGTTGCAATCCAACGTTTGCAACAGATTGGTTTGGTGCTAGAAATTGGGATCGCAGATCTGGATCCAGCGCTGCTTTACGTGTTCTTAAGCGAAGGGTGTGATTTGCGATGCTTCCGTCATTTCTCTCTCTTGCATTGCACGCTTTCTTTTCCTTGATCTTTTATGGATTTATTTCAGGGGTTTTATTTTAGTTTCTAAGTTCTTCTCTGATTTATGTTTCTATATTTGTTTTCTGAGCTTTTTTCAGTTACGCGTCCTGTTCGTCATTTTTTGGTTCATGGATTTATAAACAGAATCTTTGAGCTTTGGACGTAGAGATTGAAATTGATAAAAAAAACGGAAAAAATATTCTTAAATTGGCAACCAATACTTGTATAATTTATTCAACGAACTTAATGAAGATTGATCTATACTAACCACGAGTTAGGTGAAAGATATATAGTTTTATAGCACTAGAAAAGACTAGTCAAGTAACGAAAACGGTGAGTGAAAAATCGCACTACATTTATTTGTTTTTGGATGAGTGTGTTGTGATATATGTGGTGTGTCACAACTCACAAGAGCTATAGCCTATAGTTATGAATCATTTCTGACTAAAAAACAAGAACTTAGTGCAAAGCTTTAAAACAGAGAATAAGAATTTATGAAACATTGCATTCTCGAGCTATGAAAAGCCAGCTGGAATATACACATTCAAACAAAACAGAACATAACAACGGTAGCAACTTCTATCACTAACTCTCTGAAACTGAAAACGAAAGCCAAATAAAAGAAAAGAAAAATGAAAACAACGTAACCAAACCCAAAATTAAGATCAAGAGAAGACAAAGAAAGATGTAAAAAAGTTTATATCAAGAAGCACTTGGGTTACGGGAATGTGCTGCACTTGGAGCAGCACTTGGGTTCCGAGAATTAGCTGCGCTTGGGTTTCGAGAATGTGCTCTCGAAGCAACTCCCCATTCCATGGCCTCTGCCACTGCTCTCTCCCGTTCTTCCGCCGACACTGGATCCTCGCAGGGAGTTTGATCCGGCATTTGACGAGGAGGAGGAACGTCGTCGTAGTTTGGAACTGAGATGGATCCGTCAGGAGCTGTTCCTAAGAAACCGAGAGCGGTTACAACGTCACTTATGAGTGGCCGTACCGTTGCCTCTTCATGTAAACACATTGCTGCCACCGCCACCGCTTGATTCAGAGCTTTCTCCGGGTACACTCCCTCCAGACTCGGATCCGCTAACTCCGGGAATCTACTCGGTTCTTTGAACACCGGTTGTGCCTATAACACACACAAGAATTTAACTCTAAATTATAAATCTTTATTAGCATTTGAAGCCAAAGTATTAAGTAACCAAAATACAAAGTCTTTTTCAGTTTGAAGTTTGAGATACGTAAAGCAATTGAAGCCAAAGTCCAAGTCTCTTTTTATGTAAAGTTTAGATCTTTCAAGAAATTGAAGCCAATGTACAAGTCTTTTTTTTTCTTTCAATTTAAAGTTAAAATCTTTTAAGTTGAAGCCAAAGTACCAATCCTTTTTAATGTAAAGTTTAGATCTTATGAGAGATTGAAGCAAAAAGGGTGTTCTTAAAATCTGAATGAGAAAAATTTAAACTTACCCAAGTCACTAGATTCTGTTCAGCTTTGGGTCTAGTCGTATCAATAACTCGTCGTCCGGTTATCAACTCTAACAAGACGACTCCGAAGCTGTAAACATCAGATTTAATGGTTAACTGACCGGTTCGCTGATACTCAGGAGCACAGTATCCGTAAGTTCCCATAACTCTGGAAGAGACATGTTGTTTGTCTCCGACAGGACCTAGCTTGGCAAGCCCAAAATCGGATAACTTGGCGTTGAAGTCAGTGTCCAAAAGTATATTAGCTGCTTTCAAATCTCTGTATATCACCGGAGGATCTGCCTTGTCGTGCAAGTATTCAAGTCCCATCGCAGCACCTAGTGCGATTCTTATCCTTGTGTCCCAATCCAACGGTATTTGATCCGGAGTTAGATCTGTATACATTTCGATCAACAATTAGTAATTAATCATATACATCAGTCAATGAAGATCCTTAGTTTTGTAATATTACCGAGGAGATGATCTTCCAGTGAGCCACGAGACATGTACTCATAGACAAGAAGTCTCTGGTCTCCATCAGCACAATAACCTATGAGATTCACGAGATGCTTGTGATGCAAAAGACTTAACATTAAAACCTCTACGATGAACTCTTTGTTCCCTTGCAGCCCATTTCTATCTAATTGCTTCACTGCCACAATCTGAAATCCCAAATAAATCGTTAGGAAAATCTTTAGAGATTTGTTGTAAGGAAATGTAGAAACAAAGACCATGAATATGTCATGTACAAGATTCATCAAACTTCAACGTATTCAAGTTTCTACAAAATGGATTTTTACCACATTTCTTAAAAAATATAACCTAAATGAAAGATCCAACTAGTCAAATTAAATCAGTACTAACCTTGCCACATTTTTCGAGCTTTCCCTTGTAAACCCTACCGAAACCACCTTCACCGATCAGACATTCTTGTCGGAAATTCTTTGTGGCAGTAGCTAGTTCCCTGAAGGTGAATGTTTGCGCAGCTATATTGTTTGTCACTTCTTTGTCTGCATCATTGCTCTCTTTGTGCTCATTTGCAGTCTTAATAGGCTTTGGATTCTCTGTAAGCATCACAAAGACTTATAAAACCCTAATATTGAATTTTCTTAAAGATATCTAAAGTTTTATGTAAAATTTGTGTGAGCTTACCAGGGTGTGTTTTGTTGTTGTCTCTGCCGGTCAACTCGCCATTTCTCCGGCGGCTGTTATCTGAATCTTTTGGAGTTTTTTTCTTTTCATGGAAATAAAAACATGAAAAGCAATTCATTTCTTCTCTAATTCCCTTACGAAGAAACCCTTTCTCAAGAAAATTTCGATCTCTTTGAATTTTCTTATTCTGTCTCTCTTGTGATTAAAAATTGTCTGCAGAAAGCTGAAAGCCTCAATTGGTATGAGGACCACAAATTAAGACCAGAAATGGATCTTTGTTCGAGTTGTTAATTTGTTGAATAAATGCCTGCGTGGACGAGGGAAAACAAAAACGATATTTTCAGATAAAGCAAGAATTGTATCTGGAAAATAAATGTTGGCTTGTAAAGAGAAAGCAAAGCAAACCTAGAATCCTTTCATAAACCAATGGTTGCCTCTTTCGCAAGAAACCCTTAGGGTTTTCCCTTTTATCTTCTTCACCTTAATATGTTTTATCGCCAAGATCTAACAAAACCCAGATCAAGAAAAATAAAAATCAACGCCAAAAACCGTTGGGATCCGAAGCGCGGAAGAGACTCCGAGAAAAATGGAGGGAGAAAAGTGGACTTTTCAGGTTTAGGTTTCTGAATTTCTCTTAATATAGACAACTAAACTACTCTTTAGTTAATGATTAAATATCAAAATGGGGTCCATGTATCATTGTTCTCATGTTTGTGTGCCTCACATTTCTCTAATATAAGTTTTGGCGTGCAATTTGTATTTAAAAAACAAGCTAACCTCCCCCAAAACTGTTTAAAGAGATTTTAAACATATAAAAAACTAAATAATATTGGAGTATGGTTTGAAGTGGAAAAACAAAGATTGACATGGAGGCCATGAAGTGAATAAAATAAATGCAACAAAGTGCTTGGATGTAATGTTTGATGGTGGCACGAACTATAGCCCAATCTCTTTTAAAATAAATAAAAAATAGAATAACTGTAACACAATTATTATTCCCAAAAATCTCTTTTAAAATTGCGAACAAATAAGAACAAGATATATAGAAGAAAATAAAGAAAGGGTAATGATCATTTCTGACTCTTTTGTTTACAGAAAAAACAAGTCAACAATCTTCTCCAAGAGGCTCTTCCAAATACGATTGAGAAAGGGACAGATATCAATTAGGATGTGATAATTTTTTTAATACGATACTTCAATGTTCTAACAATTATTATAAAAAAAAAAAAAAAATCAAACACATAGATAGACCAAGACATGTAATCGAGTGGTTTGTATTAATGTGGTTGGTGTATTGGGTAAAATGAATGAATGGTGTTGCACAAAAAATAATAAAAATCCCTCATGAAACTAAACTGTGATCCGACCAACAAATCGGTTAATCTAGTTATGTCATAAAACTTTTGTTTAATTAACATAGAGTAATTGCACGCGCGCACTACCGTCGTCGTCGTCAGAGAGAGACATCGACCTGAGCAGAAGAATCGGTCAAGATCACGTCTCTCGAGTTATCGGCTTTTGGGTGATCCTTCGAGTCTAACTTAATACGCACATGCATTGGCTTCACGAACACAATGTCTCTCACTTGTCTCTTTGACTTCAACAACACTTCCACAAACAAATCTTCATTCATCGTCGTCATGTTCCTTGTTGGCTTTAATATCTCTGCTACTCTTCTCGCCAGCTCTTCCTGGCTCGCACTTTCCGTCTCTTCGTTCTTCGCCAGTCTTAAATACAAAGCTGCATAAACAATAAGCTGCACCAAACCACAAAAGTTATGTCGTTTCTAAATAATATAGCAAACTTCGGCTCTTAGAGACCTGAGACAAGATTTTAAGTGTACCTCGCTTGTGCCTGGACTTGTGTTGATAATGCAATCGATGTGTATCCGTCCATCATCTTCACTTTCGATCTCAGAAGGGTTAATATCTTCTTCTTGCTCTTCCTCTTCCTCAGCTAATTCAGGGTTGGCTATTTCTTTGGCGAGGCTGTCTAATTCATCATACCATTGTTGTGAGACTCCAACCTGTAACTCATGAAAACAAATTTTCTGAGTCACTGCGTGACTAAACCAGAGGAGAAGTTCAAAAATGAAAGTTTCTTGACCTTTTCAGAAGGTTGTTCCGCTGCACTTCCAGCACTCGAGACATCATTGATTGCGCCTCTTGCCTGTCGCCATACGCAGCTTTCTTGTATCGGTTCAACAAGCTCCGTGCCTTTAGGTATCTCTATGTTCAACCGTATGCTAATTTTACCTGTTTAATAACATACAAAAATCATCAGACCCCAATGTCAAAACCGTCTTGATGCTTCAGCTAATGCCGCAACATTTACCTGGCAATAACCGGAGTTCATGAGTATGACTGACGTGTGCTTCCTGAACTCCATTAGCTCTGTTTGATTTTAACCAAAAAGAGGGCCAACATCCGTTAGTGAGTGTGAGAACAAGAATAATGCTCTTAGAAATTGGATAAGATGGTGAAAAAGGAATCACTTACAGATTAAAAACTCTCTCCAGAGGAATGGACAACCAATAGGGCAACCCAAGGATCCCGATGTTTGAAAACTGTATGCTAGAGCGTGCTCCGGATTCTGTATTTAGCTTCAACACTCTCTGACCAGCTTCATATGTAAAATCCGCATAAGTAGAAGGAAAAATGAGTTAAATAGTTGATGCACAGAGATGAAATAATGTAAACGAAGCTGTGTCAATTTTAATTTACCTATATCAGTCATGACAATCTCGTCTCCAAATTCAGTGAAAGAAGACAAAAGGGAAGCATTTGGCTGCTCCTTGCATGAGGAGATAGCCTTAGTTTGCTGTTGCAACCAATTAGAAGGCAAATGTTTCAAGACTGATAGCTTCTCCGTCATCAATTCCCCACAGACCTCCATTATACCCGGAAATCCTTCAAAATTTGGCAAATATATAAGTTAGATACAACAGGTTGTCAAGCCAAGTACCATAAAACGGAAAAAGAAGATGCCGATTCTTATATGTAACCTTCCACGACTTCTTCGATCTCTCCTGAAGCTAAATTAACTATCCACAACTTCGAAAAGCTGAAAAAACATGACAAACCTATGTGGTTACAAGAGATAAAGGATACCAAGAATCTCAGAGAGGGACTGAGCTTTCTCTAATGTGATGAAGCAACCCTTTAAACTAGTCTCTTTACCTTTTGTTAATGACTAAAAGACTATCATTGTCACGCTTCAGTATATGCCATGGAAACATCAGGGAGTGAGCATCAGATTCTTCTGATTTGGCATCAGCATCAACTGTTGCGTCATCATCTTTTCCAAGCCCCATTTTCTCCATCATCCAAGACCATATGCCACCACTTTTTTTAATAACCTTTGGATATACCGTTTCCACGACCCGCGTCTTTATATTTGCTCTTCTAATGGCATGGTTCTTCACTCAAAGAAGGGGGAGACAGAAAGGACATGAAGAGGAAAAACAATCTTAACATGAAAACATTCAATGCCACAGTGATCATAATTTTGTAACTTCTTCTAGGAGTCATTACCTCAGAATCTACAATGTAAAGACAATCCTCCTCTTTGTCATAAAGGGTCGCTGCAGGACGTAACATCTTTGCAGATTCAAATTCTCCATCCTCAAAACCTGGGAAACAACCAATCTGAAATAAAAGTATTGTCTTAAAGTTTAGCTTTGTTAAACAAGTGGCTCCAAATGAGCTTTCCTCTCTAAGAATGCCGTTAAGGGAAATTGAGCAAATCAACCTTACTTTACTCTCTAAGCTTTGAGCAACGAAAGGTTTAAAATATATGCATTCCCAAATGTGATTCAGTTCACTTACACTGTCTAAAATCTTCCCACTATTGTCGAATATAATAATACGATGATGGTTGCTGTCAGAGAGAAACAGACGATCTCCAACTTCGTCTGCAGAGATACAACCTGTCACGGAGATTGCCAGACAGTGAGAGTACTATCTTTAAAATGAAAGACATCAAAATTCCATGAATAAAATATTAGAGAGTAGCATGGATGATAAAATGTAAAATCCAGATAAAACTCGACCAAATAAAAAGAAGATTTAAGTATATATACCTGGAAAGTAAAGTAACAAATCCTGCAAGAAGGAAGAGAAATGTGGTTCCTTGATAGCATCGGCCTGTTTTGACCAAGTGTTCGTGAAAAGTTTGACAGACTTGGACTTCTCAGTATCTTGAGTGAGACTGTCAAGAGCTGCAGCAACATCACAACAAAAAGAAACCAGAACAGGCAATTAAGCACACACAAACAGCTATGGCATTCTTAGAGCACATGTAGCGAATAGGATGATAAAGTACGCAATACCTTTAGATATGGAAGCAATATCCAGATCCTTCTCTTGGTAGATTACAGGATTCTTAAAATCTTTTAGCACGATGAAGCGTACCTCTTCTCCACTTGACTAATACAAGTAGCAAAAACATTCAATTCAAATCGAAATATAAGCCTATACATTGAGAGATTTATATACAGAGATGTAATTTACAGCAAGCGAAATGGCTCTTTCTTGGAGATACAACACTTACCTTTGGAAATTCTTTCTCGGAAAGTAGTACAGGGAAAGTAAGGTATTCCTTCACAATCAACTCAGCTAAAGCAGTTCGATCATCAGCGATTCGAGCTTGATCACTGAAGTGGATTCCCATGAAACAGACTCCATGAGACCTTAAAAGACGACGGAGAAACAACAAACATGCTCAACCATAAATTCCGTTTATTCTCTTTAGTTAAATGAAACAAAGAAACTTTCTTAAAACCTCTGCTGAAGCAGCTTTAGTTTATCAAAGAAACGACTGTGATCACTTGTTCCGTTAAGCAAATCTCCAGCGAGAAGTACATAAGTTCCTTTCTCCTTGAAAAGCTGTTTATTCCCAGTGTCACGATTCAACCAATGATGAGACGGACCTAAAAGCTCATTTCCAAACTTTTGTTCACAACACAATCAGATGTATCAAAGCAGATGACAGAGTCAGTGATAACAAATCCAGTACCTTCAAGTTTATCAAGTGAAGCTCTAACATAAGAGAGTAAATCAGCATGTGGAGAAGAAGAAGAAGAAGAAGAAGAAGAAGCAGCAGCTCGAGATGCCCGTTTTACTGATGCGAACCTGAAAGTGACTGCCTAATACAAATTAGAAAATGAACCCAGAATCGAAAGAGAACACAATCGTAGAAGTTATCAATCGAATTTACCGGCGAGAGAAACATTGTCCGGCCAATTTCGTCGACGGCGCAGTGTTCATGTCTCCATCGAATGAAGGAGCTGAACAAGTGGCTGGAGTAGTAATGGGTCGCCGAATTCGCCCGTGTATATTGTCTAGCGAGCCAAAAATAAGGCGAAAAGTTCATCAATACGGTTAAATCAGTGAAACCCCAGAAAGCTTGACTAGAAGAAGACGATCAAATTTCCGAACCTGAGAGAATCCGAGAAGAAAGCCATGAGATTTTCTTCAAATGGAGGCTTCTGTTTGACATTTCTGTATGGGTGGCTGCTTCAATCCTCTCCGCTCAAGGAATTTCTGAAAATCTGAGATTTTTGAAGGGTTTAACCGCCGACACCGGAGCCGGCAGGATCTTGGGAAATGTCACAATTCTCAGGCAACCGGTAGTAGTAGAATTCGGAAAAGAACTCCGGTTTAGTTGTAGATAAATATCATTAATGGAAAACGGATGTACATCGGGGTGGTGGCGCAGTTGGCTAGCGCGTAGGTCTCATAGCTATCTGAGTAATCCTGAGGTCGAGAGTTCGAGCCTCTCTCACCCCATTTTTGTTTTATAATTTTTTTCTTACTTGGCTTGAAAAAAAGAGTCGGGTTAAGTCGGCCGGGTCGGGTCGTGATCCAAATGAATCTAATAGTAAAACCCTAATTGCCGCCGATATCTTCATCTCCCTTCTCCATAAACCTTTTTCTTCTAACCTACTCAGTTTCTCTCTCTCTGTTTCGCTCTCTTCGGGAACGCTAAAAAATGGTGAAACGGAGTAAAAGTAAGAGAAACCCTTTAATCAAATCTCTATTCTGGATTTCTCTTCATCGATGAATTGTAACCATTGCAGGATTCACTCTGTATTTTTTATTGATTGTTTGATTTTGAATTGGCGATTGTTTTTGCAGAGAGTAAAAGTAAGAGGGTGACCTTGAAGCAGAAGCACAAGGTCCTGAGAAAGGTGAAGGAGCACCACAAGAAGAAGGCCAAGGATGCTAAGAAGCTCGGGCTTAACCGTAAGCCTAGAGTAGAGAAGGACCCAGGTATCCCCAATGACTGGCCTTTCAAGGAACAGGAGCTCCAGGCCCTTGAAGCTCGCCGTGCCCGTGCTCTCGAGGAGATTGAGCAGAAGAAAGTCGCCCGCAAAGAAAGGGTAAACCTTTTGTCACTCCCATATTTGATCGATGTTGCATAACCTCCATACTTGTTCTGATATTTGGTAAAAGCTTGTATAAGAAGTGTTGTTTGTGTTCTGATCTCTTTTATTAACCTTATTAAGGCCAAAGAGAATAAGGCCAATGCCAAAAAGAGGAAGCTTGATGGTGATGATGAGGATACCATGACGGAGGAAGGATATGGAGAGGGGAAGAGAGCAGATGACTCGATTAAAGTTGTCAACGTTCGAGGTGAGTGTGATTGTGCTTTGATTTGTGTATCTTCTCCACATGAATATGTGATTTATATCTGTCTTATACGTTCGGTGATGTCTATTGTTTTCATAGATAACTCGGAGAGGGCTTTCTACAAGGAGCTTGTCAAAGTTATTGAACTGTCTGATGTCATTTTGGAGGTTCTCGATGCCCGTGATCCCCTTGGCACTCGTTGTACCGACATGGAGAGGATGGTTCTGCAAGCTGGTCCCAATAAGCACCTTGTGTTACTCCTGAACAAGATTGGTACGTTCTATACAAGTCTCTGCTCGTTGATGTTAAAAAGTTAATTGTCATTGCGTTTTGTAACGGACTCTCTTTTGTGTAGATCTTGTTCCTAGAGAGGCTGCGGAGAAATGGCTTACGTACCTTCGTGAGGAGTTTCCAGCTGTTGCCTTCAAATGTAGTACACAGGAACAGAGATCAAACTTGGGATGGAAATCATCTAAGGCATCAAAACCAAGCAATATTTTGCAGACGAGTGATTGTCTTGGAGCTGACACTCTTATCAAATTGCTGAAAAACTACTCGAGAAGTCATGAGGTTGGTTTTTCGTAATTTACACTTCGATCACCGTAGTATTGAGTTATGTTATCCAGTTTTGATTGGATCTTCCTTTTGTTGTTCTTTGGCAGTTGAAAAAATCTATTACAGTTGGTATCATCGGACTGCCTAATGTCGGGAAGAGTAGTCTTATTAACAGTTTGAAGAGAGCTCATGTTGTCAATGTGGGTGCCACTCCTGGACTGACAAGGTCTCTGCAAGAGGTTCACTTGGACAAAAACGTGAAGTTGTTGGACTGTCCTGGAGTTGTGATGCTCAAATCTTCAGGAAACGATGCCTCTATAGCTCTCCGGAATTGTAAAAGAATTGAGAAGTTGGATGATCCAGTTAGTCCAGGTAATTAAATATATAATCTCAATTCTCAAGATAGTATCACATATCTTTTTGTGACTTTTCTTGTTATGGTTAAAATCCTCAGTGATCTGACCTGGGAATTTTCTGCTTTGTGACAAATTTAGTGAAGGAAATTCTCAAGCTTTGTCCAGCATCAATGCTGGTGACTCTGTACAAAATCCCTAGCTTCGAAACAGTTGATGATTTCCTTTATAAAGTAGCCACCGTAAGGGGTAAGCTTAAGAAGGGTGGTCTTGTGGACATTGAAGCTGCTGCAAGAATTGTTTTGCATGACTGGAATGAAGGTGCGTAGTTGTTGTCATTTATTAGTTTCTCATAAACTTAGAAATTTCATCATTTGTCTCTGATATGAATTGGTTGTGCAGGTAAAATTCCATACTACACAATGCCTCCAAAGAGGGACCAAGGTGGACACGCAGAGTCAAAGATTGTGACCGAGCTGGCTAAGGAATTCAACATCGATGAGGTTTACAGTGGGGAGTCCACTTTCATTGGGAGCTTGAAGACTGTCAACGAGTTCAACCCTGTTGAAGTTCCATCCAACGATCCTCTCAACTTCGATGAAACTATGCTCGAGGTTGGTTAATTCTCTTGTGATTCCATTTGATTATAAACTGAGTTGCATCTAGTAGTTCTTGTTTGACATTGGCAAAATAAACCACAGGATGGGTCTAAGAGTGAGACTATAGAAGAAGAAGAGGCTGGCGTTGAGAGCGATGATGAGTCTATGGGAGGGGAAGAGAAGGAAGAAACAGGAAAGTCGAAGGAGAAATCAGAGGCTAGCAAGCAGAACGAGAAGCTATACGGAGCTGACAAAATGCTGAATACAAAGAAGCAGAAGGCGGAGAAGAAGAAGAGGAAGAAAGCGAAGAATGCAGCAGATGGTGAGGATCACATGGACGGAGATTATGATTTCAAAGTTGATTATGCGAAGAATACAGCCATGGATGAAGGAGGCGACGAAAACCCTGTGGAGGCCGAAGTTCCAATGGCAGGACTTGAATGGCCTGAAGAATGATGAGTCATTTTATTATAAACAACGTTTTTCTTTTGTTTTATTGCGTTTATGCTGTTGGATTTGGTCTAGCAAACATGTTAGCTTCATGAAGTTGTAGTGACACACACTAGAAGCAATTTTGATTTCTTTACAGTGCTCCACCGATTCATCTTCAATTACACACATTAAATTTTTTGAGTTGCTAAGTGTGAAAGCAGCTTTAATCTGTGTTGACTCTTGACTCTTGAGTAGTGAAAGAGAAAACAGCTTGATTTTGTTGACCGATCATATAAACTGTTTAAAGTGTTAGTCCAAGCTTGGCTTTGCTCTGCTCAAATTCAAGAAACTTGCACAAAAATACAGAAAGAGAGAAGATGAGTTGGGCCACTGTCGATTTTGGGATCGGACGGATTATTAGTCTTCTTGAGAACGAGACCTTGTTGTTGTCGGGAGTCCATGGCGAGATTGAGAAGATGAAGAAGGAGTTGCTTATCATGAAGTCTTTTCTTGAGGACAGCAACAAACATGGTGGAAATGGATCCACCACAACTACAACAACTCAACTCTTCAAGACTTTTGTGGCAAACACAAGAGATTTGGCTTACCAAGTGGAAGACATTATCGACGAGTTTGTCTACCACATCCATGTTTATCGTAGCTGCAAGAACCTTTGGCGTGCTTTTCATTTCCCAAGGTATATGTGGGCCAGGCACTGCATAGCTTGTAAGCTAGGAGTAGTAAATGTCTTGATTCAATCCATTTCTGACTCCATGAGAAGGTACTCTCGTTTAAAAAACTGTCAATCATCATCACCACCTATTGATGATGGAAGTGCAAAGTGGGTGAATAACATCAGCGAGTCGTGTCTCTTCTTTAGTGAAAATAGTCTTGTAGGGATTGATGCAGCCAAGAGGAAGCTCACTGGATGGCTTGTGAGTCAAGAAACTCAAAGGATAGTTGTTTCTGTGGTTGGAATGGGTGGTTCAGGGAAGACCACACTCTCAGCGACTATCTTTAAGTCTCAAAGCGTGCGGAAGCATTTTGAGTCATACGCTTGGGTCACAGTCTCCAAATCCTATGTGATTGAAGATGTGTTTAGGACAATGATCAAGGAGTTTTACAAAGAAGCAGATACACAGATTCCACCTGAGCTATACTCTTTAAGCTACAGAGAGTTGGTGGCAACACTTGTGGAGTATTTGAAGTCAAAGAGGTACATTGTTGTGCTTGATGATGTATGGACCACTGATCTCTGGAGGGAGATAAGCATCGCTCTACCGGATGGTATTTGTGGAAGCCGTGTTATGGTAACTACTCGGAGCAACAACGTGGCTTCTTTCTCGTATGGCGTAGGGAGCAGAAAGCACGAGATTGAGCTCTTGAAAGAAGACGAAGCTTGGCTGCTTTTCTGCAACAAAGCGTTTTCAGGATGTCTTGAGCAATGCAGGAGGCAAAATCTTGAGGTGATGGCACGGAAGTTGCTTGAGAGATGTCAAGGCCTGCCATTAGCTATTGCTTCTTTAGGGAGCATGATGTCAACAAGGACGTTGGAATCAGAATGGAAGACAGTCTACAATTCTCTGAACTGGGAGCTGAACAACAATCTTGAGCTCAAGGTTGTTAGAAGCATTTTGTTGGTTAGCTTCAACGATTTGCCATACCCTCTTAAACAATGTTTCTTGTATTGCACTCTTTTCCCTGCGAACTATCGGATGAAGAGGAAGAGGCTCGTTAGGATGTGGATGGCACAAAGGTTTGTGGAACCGATCAGAGGAGTGAAGCCAGAGGAAGTGGCTGATAGGTACCTCAACGAGCTTGTTTACAGAAATATGCTTCAAGTCATCTTGTGGAATCCTTTTGGACGACCTAAAGTGTTCAAGATGCATGACGTGATAAGAGAGATCGCTTTATCTGTATCCAAAGGTGAGAGGTTTTGTGATATATATAAAAATGGCAATGATGGTGATGATGATGAAGAAACAACCGAGGATTGTTGTACTCGCCATTTATGCATCCAGAGAGAGATGAGACCAGGTACCATCCGTTCAACAAACCTTCACACTCTTTTGGTTTGCACTAAAAACAGCATTGAACTACCTTCATCTCTGAAGCTTTTAAGAGCCCTAGACCTTGAAGAGAGTGCTATCAGCAAGCTACCAGATTGTTTAGTAACTCTGTTCAACTTAAAGTATCTGAACGTGTCGAAAACACAAGTGAAGGAACTCCCAAGAAACTTCCACAGGCTCATCAATTTGGAGACACTGAACACTAAGCACTCCAAGATTGAGGAACTTCCTCCAGGGATCTCCAAGCTGCGGAAGTTGCGTCATCTGATTACTTTCCGTTGCAACTACGGACAAGATCCCACTTGGAACTACGTTTTAGGCACGAGGGTCTCTCCTGATGTATGCCAGTTGAAGGACTTGCAAGTCATGGACTGCTTCAATGCAGAAGCTGAGCTCATCAAGAATCTAGGGAACATGACTCAGCTCACAAGAATAAGTCTTGTCATGGTTAAAAGAGAACATGGAAATGACTTATGCAAGTCGCTGAATAAAATTAAAAGACTCAGGTTCTTATCTCTGACGTCGATTCATGAAGAGGAGACATTAGAGATAGATGGACTGGAAGCAACTGCGAGCATTGAGAAGCTCTTTCTCGCTGGGAAACTGGAAAGAGTACCAAGTTGGTTCCATGATCTTCAAAACCTTACCTATCTTGGTCTGCGCGGATCTCAGCTGCAAGAAAAAGCCATCGGCTATATCCAAGAGCTTCCTAAACTGGTATGGCTTTCATTTTACAATGCATTTATGGGACCTAGGTTGTGCTTTGCACAAGGGTTTCAGAGTCTGAAGATTATGGATATAGTTCAGATGCAACATCTGACACAAGTTGTTATAGAAGATGGTGCAATGACTGAGCTTCAGAAGCTTTATATCAGAGCTTGCAGAGGGTTAGAGTCGGTACCGAAAGGAATTGAGAATCTTGCTAATCTTCAAGAACTGCATCTGAGTCATGTTTCTGATCAGCTAGTAGACCGGATTCGTGGAGCAGGGAGTGTAGACCGGTCAAGGGTTAAACACATCCCTGCCATTAAACATCGTTTCACAACTGATAAAGGCTCATTTTACGTGAGCCTCTCATCTTGAGTGGCTACACAAGCTTCATCTATTATTCATGTGTTAAGTCCCAAATATTATGTATAATAATAACTCTCAAGTTTGATACAATATGAAAAGAATGGGACAATTGCAACAACAACAAAACCTATCAGTATCGTTCTTTAGTGTCTGTCCCTTCTTCTCTTCTTTTCTGTTTTCTTGTCTTTTTTATTCAGAGAGTCCTTTCTTGTTCTCCGACCACGCTCGTTGTCATCCGAGTGTTGTCTCAGTGAAGGTGGTCTCTCTGGTCCCAGGACAACCTTCCTTGCTTCTGTGTCAGAACTTTGCAGCTTCTCTACCTTATCGACAGGAAGATAAGGGCCTGTTTCATCCATCCTAGGACCGATAGAGCCTCTGCCACGTTTGATCCTGCCGTTTACAAAAGATAAGGACAGCTAGCAAACTCAAAAGTAATAACAGAAGCTGCTACGTTGAGTGTGAAAGGAAAGGACATACCGTGATTGGAGAAAAGACTCAATGTCATCATCTCCTAAGCCTTCATCATCTTCCGAGTACCATCTTTTGCCTGGTGATGATGATGATGCATGAGTAACCTTTTTCTCATCGCCGGAACTGCATCTCTTATCCAACCTCCTTCTCGAGAAACTACCACTCCGCTCCATTTGGCTGCTGCTGCTTTCTTCTCTTGATTTTCTTTTGAGCGTTTCCTCTTTCTCCTTCTGCCGAAGCCTCCACATCTCACTGGTTTCTACCGCTTTGTTTGCTGTACAGTCATCAAGGAACAGAACATGTAAGAGAACAGAGTAAAAAAATCAACCTTTTAAGCTACATATCTTCTATCTACCATATCCAAGGTGATCAAATACAGAGCTTGAAACTAGCTTGCTGATGACAAAATATGTAATGGAGAAAGGGAAAAGGGTGAATAGAGAAAGCATACATTGCTGAACACCTAGGACAGTTGCGGTGAGAAATCTTGAGTTTGGTCGATGCCTTACATTAGGCTTCTCAAGATATGCTCGAATTCCATCTTTTTCAGCTTGTCTCCTCAATTCTGCTGCTTCTCTTAAGAGAATCGATGCTATTCGATTCTCAGTTTCCAGGTCCATCCTGACTCCACACAAGCAACGAAAAACCCAAAATCTCCGTCTCACGAAAGAGATTTCCCAATAACGGTGTCACGAAATTCAAATTGCTCGCGAATTTTGGACTTAACGGAGAATAATTACCGCTTACCAGTAAAAATGAAAATCAAATACGTGGGCACGCGCACAGATCTCCTTAGAGATGTATTCGCCGGATTCTGGAATAAAACGATCCAATCGAATCGATCACCGAGAAAGTTCTTAGTAAACCGGAACGGTACAATACAATTCATACTCAGTTTGGTTTGGTCTGGGTTATTAGTGGAGTTTTAATTTGAGTTTTTCGATTCAGTAAGTTCCACGCTACAAACTTCACAAAAACAGATGGTTTTTAGTCATTTTCTTAGAATTGAGATTTTCATACAAGATTTAAGACGATGTCATAACCTCTAATATCTGTTGTCAAAAACAAAACAAAAGAATGATAACCTATACAGTATTATTTAACATGCTTGATAGTTGATACATGTTGTAACATTTTATCAAGAAACATCAGAAATAAGTTCCTTGGGATCTTGGCTGCTCAAAACTTATACCTCTTGCTAGCTTAGTTTTGCCTAGTTTAGATTTATGTTGCTCTCTTCGCAAGTATCTTCTATATTGGTTCCCCAAAAACCATCATATCATAAGCACATATAATCAACACAACTATATCAAAACTGTTATAAGATTAACCAACAAGAATACCTTAAGAAGTCAAGATCTCGACAAGTTGTAAGAGATCCACTCTCTTTGTTGACTCTAGTTTACGAGGAAGTTGAACTATGTTGTTGGCTGTCTTCAAGAGTTTGGTGAACCGCTTCTTTGGAAAAGCGGAAAGTATCTTCACAAGAGAGAGTCCCACTCTCAAACTGGCTTGGGATAGAGAAGCTTGAAGTCTCATCACTCTCTTCAACAGTTTCAGGAACTGTTGATGTGGGTAAACACCAGATTGGTTTAGGTGGAACCTGTATAGCCTCTACACTCCCCTCTAACATTTCAATGACTTTTACCATTGTTGGACGATGAGATGGATTGGTTTGAATACACCAAAGACCAACCAAAACCATTTTCTTTGCAATGTTTTTCTCTTCTTCTTCGGCTATCTCATCTCCGAAAATCCTCATGATTTCTCCCCTCTCAAAATCCTTATAGATCCAATCTGGAAAGTACATTGAACTATTGTTGGATCCGGAATTTTCAAACTTCTCTCTGTTCCTCGCTCCAATCATCTCAAGAACCACCATCCCATAACTATACACATCTGATTTATGTGAAACTCCTCCAAAATTCGTAGAAAACACTTCAGGGGCAGTATATCCTGCCGTTCCTCTTGCATCCAGCATTGACATTATGCTCTCATTGTTTTTACAGAGCCTAGCAAGACCGAAATCCGAAATCTTAGGGCAAAGATTTTTGTCCATGAGTATGTTCTGCGGCTTTATATCGAAATGTACAATCCTCGATACACAACGATTGTGCAAATACTCTAGACCACGAGAGATACCCAAAGCAATGTCATATAACGTTTCCCATTCCATCTTCGCTGACATATTCTCGGAGATAAACTTGTCCAAGGATCCATTCGGCATGAACTCATAGATTATAGCTCTCTTCTTCCCCTCGTAACAGAATCCAAGAAGAGAAACAATATTAACATGAGATGTTCTACTCATGCTAGCTACTTCATTGACGAACTCTTCTCCGTTCCCTTCTGACTCCTTCAAGATCTTTACTGCAATATCTCGGCCTTCTTCTGGTAACTTGCCTTTGTAGACAGTTCCAAATCCTCCTTTCCCCAGAACATGCGCAAATGAGTTTGTCATCTTCTTGACTTTTTTGTAACTATATTGTTTCAACATTACCACAGTTTCGTCATTTTTGCCATTCCAATCACTCTTTCTCGCCTTCTTTGCCCTAACTATCACCGCGACCATGAGAATGATCATCACAAACAATGATGCTGAGATTCCTGCAATAAGAGAACAAAAACTTGAAATTTAGGTGTTGTGAATATGAGAATAATGTCTTATTTATGCATGGGTTGAGTTTTCTTAACAAAATCTTGAAATTTAAAGAAAACTCTTTTACAACAAAAAAAAATATATATATATATATATATATATATTATGGGTTGAGCGATACGGTACCGAGTATGAGTTTTAATTTCCAAGATGATTTTTCTGCAAAATGTTTCAAAGAAATAATTCTTATTAGACAAAACAATAAACATACACTTTACACTTTGATATGAGAAACAAAACAAAATAAACTCACTTTTCTGTTCTGTAGTAGCTTCCTTTGTGGGTTGAGACTCTGAGGGAGGTTCAAGAGTTCCATTGTTTTTTTGAGCTGGAAATGGAGGGTGAACAACTGGAAATGGAGACGGAGCCACTGGAAATATATATGGAGGCTGAGCAACTGGAAGTGGAGACTGAGCCACTGAGATACTGTGGTTGTTTCTCCAGCAAGTAGCAAATTAGATTACAATAAATAAAGCAATTAAAAATAAATAAAAAAGTTGCAAAAATTCCAAATTTTCTAATGTGAGGTTAATTAAAAGTTAAAACACCTTGAAAATGAAAATATTAGCTACAAGATACTTGGCATTGGGTCCAAACTATCATAATTCTAGAAAAACTTTCTGTACAAATGAATAGTTAGAGTAAAAGCCATGTTATGTTAATGTATTTGTCAAAATATAAAGTATTTCAGTTTAGCCCTTCATGTAAAGATGTATAGAGAATGAGTGGTCAAAATTAGAGCCGTGTGATGTATTTTTCACTATCCTACTAACGCGTTTTGTCGGGAAAAAACAAACAAACTATGAGCGAAAGTAGGGGTATATACGGGAATTTACTTGGTGGTGCTGAAAGTAGTCGACGGGCAAAAGGTGATAACGTAGCTAGGTTGATTTCGGCATGTGAAGAGGCTACTAGAATAGTCGTCGTAGGCGTAGCTATAAGCGCGTGGGCACGCCCTCTTGAATACCGGCGAATACGTCGTCGGCGGGCATTTTTCCGTTGCAGAATAAGTGCCACAGCAATACTTCGGCAATCTAAACGTCTGACACGCGCTCATGCATGCGATAATTGGCTGCATCTTGCTGGTGTTACCTTTCACCCTCAGCTCGTTTGGACACATCGTCTTCAAATCGTTAACGCATCCGACTGTACTGCACGTCTTATCACCCTGTGGAGCAATAACAATCGGAAGGTTATAGCCGTCGACCAGTGACACGTCGTAGTAGTCTGGACCACCCCTGACGTCGAGAGAAAACTCGGCTAGAGTCACGGGAGGCTTTCCAAATCCTGAACACTTTACTTTCCTGGAGTCGCAGTCTCCGGTGGCGCAGGAGAGACCCCCGGTTGAGTTTTCGGAGCAGAATGTCCTACCCCAGAAACGGCCAGTCCATCCGGAGGGCGCCTCGATGACACGCGCCTCTCCTCTCTTGAGACTGAAGCCGGTGGTGGAGAGCGGACTTGAGCCGGTGGATCGGATTGCGGGCCAGACGGTGTGATTGCAGTTGTTCTCTATGGTAAAGTTCCTTGAACTTACTCCTGTAATTTTCAGAGCAAAACAATTCTATCAATTACAATTACAACATCATAAAACCATACAGGTTTTTCGCCGGAAAAGTGGAAACGACTGTACCTGAGACGAACAAATATGATACTAGGAAGAGTATCAATAGCAATCCATCGGCCATTGGCTTGAAGAGGAGCAAAAAAACGAACCCAAAGCTTCAAGTATTTCTTTAGCTAAAATAAGAAGAACAAAAGAAAATGAGAATTTTAGCAGAAGGTTGGAAAAGAAGTTTGATTAGGATTTTTTCGGGGAAGTAAAGGAAGAAGTAAACCGGAAATTTCCAGACTAGAATAAACACAATTTAACATGATTACGACATGTATTAAATTTGTCGTTTAGATTTCTACGTATACAAAAATTCTACTTATATACACAGAACCCAAAAAGAAAAAAGAAAAAATATATTTATTTTTTTTATTTTTTTTTCTAACTAGAGTAAGAAAATTATACAATTGATTACTCAATCATACAAAAAAATATGATTGTAAATACTAACTCTTTATTTTATCAATTTTTGTTAAAATAAAAAATTTAAAATGTAAATAAAGGTTTTATATAATTTATAGTTAAACTAAGGAAATTATACAGTCAGTTACTAATTTGAAAATGAAAATGGTTATCTACTCGGGAGCATTTTGAGGGATGCTTACAGATGGTGTGTGTGATTTTGGGGATGGTTGAATCTCGGGTCATATGTCCGTCCACTGGGGGTATGAACTATGAAGAGTACTACTGGGAGCCAAAGTTGATTATTTATTTAACATGCGTAAACTTATTGACATAGCCAAAGTGTTTGAAGCCGCATTTTTCTTCAGCTTATTTTGAGAGCCAAGAATAGAGGATGGCTCAAGAACAACGAAATCTCACGAGTCTGTGTAGACCTTATTGATCTCTTTTGTGTCCAACCATGATCTGGACTTCGCATTTTGGAACAAAAAAGACATGGTTATGGATTATGGCCAGGTCCGTCCTTGAGCCCAAGCAGTGCTTGCTGTCCTATAATTTAATATACCAAACTTTTGTCCACAATCAGTTTAATCTACCCACAACGATTTTAATCGAGAGTCCTTTCAGAGCCCTGGCCGAATTACCCCCGATTTTGGGTATGCCGATACTAAGAGTCCTCTCACTACCAACCATCATACATCATCTGGCTGGGTCTTGCCAGTTTTAACAACGAGAAAAAAAACAACCATTGATCATCAAGAAACTTCTTAGTAAACCGGACCGGAACGGTACAATTCACACTTAGCTTGGTTTGGTCTGAGTTATTAGAGGTGTTTAATCTGAAGTTTTCTAATCAACGCAAAGCATCCTTTTGGAAGTGTTCCTAATAAAAAAACTTCTGAAGAAAATGAATTACACTATGTCCCTAGATCTCTTACCACTAGTCACTAGACCAACATCACTTAGACATTAATTTATGTCCGCCAATCAAATATATTTGCGTTTAAACACTAATCACACAATTAAGGTCCATTAACAGTTAATATCTTCTCAAATAAAGTGGTCCACAATTCCAAAAAGTTTGAAATCCTCCGAGAGCACCAAAGTAACCAAACGCGTTATGTTTGGATTCCTTCAGAGTAAAAAATCTTGTTACCAATGATCCACGGCGGTTAAAAAGGAGATGCTACAGAGATCTGATCTGACCATTCGTGTTAGTCACGCGCAACTCAAACGGGTGAAAAAAAAGAGAGATAATAATAAAGCCCCAGAATTTCGGATCCGGATCCGAAAATCACTGACCCGTTTTGAAGCGGTTTTTCTTTGTTTTCTTTCGAAAATGACCGTTTTGGGCCAGTCAAAATGTCAATAGCGCAAGGCTCTTTGGTGTCCCTTTTCTATTATCATCGGCCTTTCCCGATTCTGTTCATCTGGAAACTCGCGCGATTTGCTAGGGTTTACTAAGGGTTTCTCTCACTCTCGCACTCTCCACTTCCCAAAATCCACTCTCTCTCATCCGTATCGTTCATTTCTCTCTCTGTAACCTAGGGCTTTCGATTCTTCATCTTCCGGTGTCATGGATAGATACAAGAGAGTCGAGAAACCAAAACCAGACTCTCCGATTAACGAAAATGAGATCCGCATCACCAGCCGAGGCCTTATCCGAAACTACATCAGTTATGCCACCAGCCTTCTCCAGGTACTGTGTCTGCCTCTCTCTCTCTCTCTTCTAATTTCTTCCAATTCATTCGCCAAATTCGTGATCGCGAAATGTTCATCGGAGAATGTAATGCTGCTCAGTGAATACCATCGCGTTTTTTTGTTTCTTATTTTAAACATCTCTCTATGTTTTCTTCTTTAAGTAAATGGATTGTGCATTCTGTTTCTGCGATTTGATAATTTTGGGGATCTTTTGTGTTCAACTTTTTGATTTTAGGAGAAAGCTGCGAAGGAAATTGTGTTGAAGGCAATGGGGCAGGCAATCAGCAAGACGGTGGCGATCTCTGAGATACTAAAAGTAAGTGCTCTTTTGATAAACCTGGAAGAGTTATCATCTAATTGTGATTTTCTGATTTGATAAAAGTGGCTAAGACGTTTGTAATCTATACTGCAGAATAAAGTTCAAGGTTTGCATCAAGATATTGCAATCAGTTCTATGAGCATTACCGATGTCTGGGAGCCTGATGAGGAGGGTCTTGTGCCGTGAGTGTCTTGCATTACTCTGTTCCTTCTTTTTTGTGTTTAGGTGGCTTCAATTGATTTACCTTATGATGCAGGGTGGAGCTGACACGCCATGTTTCCATGATTTCAATCACATTGTCTTTGAGTGAGCTAAATAAAGATTCTCCTGGGTGAGTTTCACTTTTGTTCATCCCTTTATTTTCTTGGAACTTGGAAAGTCTGAGTTCATATAGTTACAATAAAGGTTTATCAATGTTTTCAGGTACCAAGCTCCATCACTGACTGATCAGTCTAAGCCTCAATATCAGCCACAACAAGCAAGACAAGCCCGTCTTCCGTACAATGCCTATGGTGAAGGTGATGCCACTGACTTTCTCGAGAGTTTAAAGCTGTTAATATCTTTTGTTAATATCATAACACTTTTTTTCTGACTGGGAATGTAGATTCTTATGGTCGAGGGAGAGGTCGTGGCAGAGGAAGAGGCAGGGGAAGAGGTGGTTATGGAAACTACCAAGGCAGTAATCAAGGGAAGTACCAAGGGAACTATCAAGAAGATTATCAAGGTACTGATATACCTGAGAAGAAAATTGTTTAGTTTATCTATCTTAGAAATCTTACGGCGGTCTTGTATTCTTAAGAAACATCTATCTATTATTCAGTAGCATAATTTAAGATGGTTCCTTTCTTTTTAGTTTGTAACTGATTTGTAGCTTTATCGTGGTTTAATTAGAAAACGATGGTGGGTATTCAAACTCAGGCAGTGGCCGTGGACGTGGCCGGAGTTATGGCTATCGTGGTAAGTCAGAACACAGTCAATTAACAAAAAAAAATGGCAGCAAAGTTACATGGTGTATAAGTGATATGATACTATACACTAGATCAACATTGATTATTCATATGTTCTTCTCATAGCTTTAAACTTTTCTGTATCAAGTGTAATCCTCTTTTGCTTTCTATCTTTATGGTGTGTGTTTGAAATTCAAGTGTTGGATTTGTGTTAGGCGCTGGATATCAGGGTGGCAGAGGCGGGTATGGTGGTAGGAGAGACGGCGGATATGGTGGAAGGAGAGACGACGGATATGGTGGAAGGAGAGACGACGGATATGGTGGAGGCAGAGACGATGGATATGGTGGAGGCAGAGACGAGGGGTACGGTGGAGGCAGGGACCAAGGTTATGGTGGAGGGAGAGACGAGGGGTACGGTGGAGGCAGAGATGAAGGATACGGTGGAGGCAGAGACGAAGGATATGGGGTAAGAAGAGGCGGATTTCGAGGTGGTCGAGGTGGGGAGAGAGGTGAGAGGTATGGTGGAGGTAGAGATGATGGATACGGCGGAGGCCGTGGTGGGTATGGTGGAGGTAGAAATGATGGATACGGCGGAAACCGAGGTGGATATGGAGGAGGTCGAGGTGATGGGGGGTATGGAGGAGGTCGAGGTGACGGTTATGGAGGAGGTCGAGGTGATGGGTATGAGGGAGGTGGAGGTGGATATGGATATGGCGGAAGAAGAGGGTATGGTCGTGGACGTGGAAGGATGGGTAATGGTGGTCGTTCAAGGGGTGGTGCTAATAACCAAGACCAAGCCTAAGTTGTTTCATTTCCCACTCAGTAAGCTATATGGGCAATTTGCTGCATCTTTTTCCGTTACCTAAAAGACCTTAAAATGTCGTAGCATAATCTACCGACCGTTCGTTCGTTCCTCCCAAGGGTTTTCATTATGTTTTCAAAGGTTTATGGTAAAATTATGGGTAGTTTAAGGAAAGGGTTACGTTTTGTTTTCTTCTCCTTTTTACTTTCTTCTGCACAAATTTATCCAAGTGCAAGATCAGCTTGTGTTCAGTTCCTTGTAATTAATAATGGTAATGGCAAGCTTTTAAGTATTTTTCAAAATCTCTCTAACACGTGTGTTGTAGATTTTACTTAAACAATTGTGAGGAAATCAAATTAAATTTGAAGTGTAAGATTGGAGTGAGAAGATTCAATAATAAAATAAAAAAGAACAGCCAAGCTTAGCTGCACTCTCGCGATTGCATTTACCAATACAAATCCTTTCTTAACTCCGAAGTCCTAACAACTGTTGAATGTTGAAACAATCACTCAACTCTCTATTTAATCTTTTTAAAGGATAACAAAATGTTGAATAAGCTTAGAGGGACTAAAAAAAACTGGATGACTTAATCTAAGATTTTGCCAGAATGAAAGAGAAGATTGAATCCTTATTCACAATTCATTGTTTAAAAATGTTTAGGGCGTCTTTTTATGTTAGCAAAACGATAAAAGCAAAAAATGGTGCTGCCCAGGATCGAACTGGAGACCTTTTGCGTGTAAGGCAAACGTGATAACCACTACACCACAGCACCTTGTTGTTAAATCAATAACTACCTCGATTAAATTAGCATAGTAATGAAATATTTCTTTGTCAAAAAAGGGAACAAATCAGAGGATTGGTAAAACATTAAATAATCTCCTTTATATAATTCAGATATTTTCTTTGACAACCAATTTGGAAATATCTTAATTCTTCTTTTGATGGTTTTTATTTCAGGGGAGGGAAAAGACGACAAGGACATAAAATACGAAATGACAGAAGAGTAGAGATGATTCGCTGTCAAAGCATACGACAGCGTTTCAAAGAATATTTGTTTGTAAATTGACCGATTTAGCCATCACTCCGACAGTTAATTGCGAAATCTTTGCCTGAACCGGAGCGAACCACCACGCAGCCATCGTCCATCGACCCACTTAGTCCGAACGTGCCGCTTCTCTCTCTCGACAAATCGAAATTGAAGATTTATTTTAGAAAACAAAAAACAAAAAAAACAATTCGATTTTGAAGCATTACGAGAAAAGCAAGAAAAGAATCTTATAATTTATTATCCCATTCACTTTCTCTCTGGGATTTCAAAAACACGCTTACGCAAATTTGAGAAACACGAAGGAGGACGATTCGTCGTTTACAAAAACGGAGGATCCAGATCGTTTCTGCTTGTAGAAAGAGAGAGAGAGATAGAATACGATGCCGGAAATCTCGCCGGCTAAAGTTGACAGGGTCTCTTCGTCTTCCTCTTCATCTTCTTCAAGTTCAGGCCGAGCTTCGGTGAAGATTGAGGAGATTGAAGGCGGTGCTGATGTCGGTGTCGTCGTCAATGGCGCTGAAGAACTGGAGAGCAAACCGGAAACGGCTGTTTCCTCCATTGCCGACAACGCTGTGGCTCAATCCTCAGGAGGTACCGTTTTATCTAGCTTCTCCGCGCAATTGAAGCGAGATGGCAGAATTAGACTGATACTCAAATGTTGATCGATTCCCTTTTTTCGATGATTTTGAAGTTATCGTCATCATTGCCTGGTTTTGGTGATTTTGGGTGTTTTTCAGGTGCTGGCAATAAAAGTTTTTCCAGAACGTGGACAATGCCGCTGGAGCGTTCTTCGAGCAGTGAGAGGGCCGAATCATCATCATCGAACCCTAGGTTAGATAAATCAAAGACTGAGAGGCAGCAGAAAGTTACTCACATCCTTGCCGAGGATGCTGCTAAGATATTCGATGATAGAATCTCTGCAGGGAAGAAGGTACATACAAGCGTCTATTTTTGGCTTCTATTTTTAGTTATTATCTGTCTCTGACTCTCTGTGTATTTCTTCTATGATTACTACTTTTGTAGGCGATGTTAGTTTATATAATAAAAATGGCATATGTATTTGCAGCTTAAGCTACTGAACCGTATAGCTACAGTGAAACATGATGGGACAGTGGAGTTTACAGTGCCAGCAGATGCAATCCCACAACCTATTGCTGTGGAACGTGAAGCATCGAAAAATGGTGTTTCCCCGGATGAGTGTATTGATGGGGTGGACCTTCAGTACATTCCTCCTATGCAGATTGTGATGCTCATTGTTGGGACACGTGGAGATGTTCAACCTTTTGTTGCCATTGCCAAAAGGCTTCAGGTACAAACCTTAAATTTGAAAAGGCTCAGTGTAGTATATGTCTCTTCAAAATGCAAGTACTGAATATAAATTTGTGCAGGACTATGGGCATAGAGTTAGACTTGCAACTCATGCAAATTTTAAAGAGTTTGTGTTGACTGCTGGATTGGAGTTTTATCCCTTAGGTGGAGATCCAAAAGTGCTAGCCGGTTGTATGTATCTCTACCAAACATTTCCATTTTTTCTCCATCCTTGTTACAAAATCTGTTTTAGCAATTCACCGGTTTCCTTTGCTATGTTGTGTGTGCAGATATGGTTAAGAACAAGGGATTTTTGCCGTCAGGCCCTTCGGAGATCCCAATTCAACGAAACCAGTTGAAGGACATCATATATTCTCTACTTCCAGCATGTAAAGAACCTGATCCAGACTCTGGGATTTCCTTTAAGGCTGATGCAATTATTGCCAATCCTCCAGCTTATGGTTAGTTTCAGCAGTGTTTGCATTACTGGATACTTTTGTGGCTTCCCGGCTTATCATATGCTCACTTCTAATGGCTACTAACTTGGAAAATTACCATTTCAGGACATACCCATGTGGCAGAAGCACTGAAGATACCGATTCACGTTTTTTTCACCATGCCATGGACGTAAGTCTTGTATTAGCAACAGATTCTGTCCGATTGAATGCCTGCTTTTAACACATTTTGTTCTGAATCATTAACTATCTCTCTGCTATTTTAATGATTGATCTAGGCCAACAAGTGAATTTCCACACCCCTTGTCACGTGTCAAACAACCAGCAGGATACAGAGTGAGACTTGTTTATTCACAAATGATAATATTGTTGTTTGCTAGTATTATACTTGACTCCTTCGTTTAACATTGACTTAATGCAATTTCAGCTTTCGTACCAAATCGTCGACTCATTAATCTGGCTTGGAATAAGAGACATGGTAAATGACCTTAGGAAAAAGAAATTGAAGCTAAGGCCTGTCACGTATCTAAGCGGAACTCAAGGCTCTGGGTCTAATATTCCACATGGATATATGTGGAGTCCTCATCTTGTCCCAAAGCCAAAAGGTAGTATGGCTCATGAGCTTACTCATGAATGATTTTTTTTGTTGAATAAACAGTAATTTAGATCGTTACTTTTCATCTTTTATTCAGACTGGGGGCCACAAATCGATGTAGTAGGTTTTTGCTTCCTTGATCTTGCGTCGAACTATGAACCTCCTGCAGAACTTGTGGAATGGCTAGACGCTGGTGACAAACCCATTTATATCGGCTTTGGTAGTCTTGTAAGTTTTTGTCCCCCCACTCTCTCCACATGAATAGTATTTCTAGAGAATCCTCTCATCGCTCAAACTTTTTATCTATGGCTGTGTGATTAACTGAAATAATGTCTCTCCCTTTGTGTTTATTTTTGGTAAAGCCTGTCCAAGAACCAGAGAAAATGACTGAAATCATTGTGGAAGCACTTCAAAGAACAAAACAGAGAGGAATCATCAACAAAGGCTGGGGTGGCCTCGGAAACTGTAAGTCTACCCTTAATTCAATATGTTTGACCTTTCCTTTATTGGATGCTTAGCCTGTTTGGTACATATGATTATCATTTATATAAAATATGCTTGATGTGGTTTTCATGTAGTGAAAGAACCCAAGGACTTCGTTTACTTGTTGGATAATGTCCCACATGACTGGTTATTCCCGAGATGCAAGGCTGTGGTATGTTTATAATAATATGGAAGCCCTCATAGAGTCTTAGTTCAGTCCCTGAATACTTTGTTACTTCATTTGGTTCTGGAGAGTAGAAACTTTTTTTAGACCATTTTGCTTAGCTGGGATTAGTTAGTATGTTCTGAGTCTCATATGTGATAAGATTGTTGACTGCAATTGTTGCTGTTATGCTTTCAGGTTCATCATGGTGGTGCTGGTACAACGGCTGCAGGTCTTAAAGCATCGGTAAGTTTAGTTTGAGTGTAAGCTAAGAAAACTCTGCTTCTTGAGATGGGACTTTAGTAGTTGACATGAAAGTGTGTTGCTTTTTGTTAAACATACAGTGCCCAACTACAATCGTGCCTTTCTTTGGAGACCAACCGTTTTGGGGAGAAAGAGTGCACGCTAGAGGAGTAGGTCCTGCACCGATCCCAGTGGACGAATTCTCACTTCATAAGCTTGAAGATGCCATCAATTTTATGCTCGACGATAAGGTAAATAATACTCTCAGAATTAATACATTTTTGGTATGGTTTTATATGACCATCCCTAGTGATGATCAAACTGAGCATTGAAATGGGAGCAGGTGAAGAGCAGTGCAGAGACGCTAGCAAAGGCGATGAAGGATGAGGATGGTGTGGCTGGAGCCGTGAAGGCCTTCTTTAAACATCTTCCGGGTTCGAATCAGAATTTTCAGGATCCGATTCCGGAACCTCCTGGATTTCTCTCTTTCAGAAAATGCTTTGGCTGTTCGTAACTTTCTCTCCCCCCTCAGAATCTCCTCTTCTCTTTTCCTTTATTGTCTCTTGTATGTCTGTTTTCTCCTCTTCTTCCTTGGTTTTGGTTTTGGTTTTACAACAACGCTTAGGAAAGTAAACACTTGTGACGAGCTTGGGAATTTGATGTTTAGGTGATGCATATAATTTTTTTATTTGTTATAAGCAGCAA